GGTATAGATCAAGGTGTCATTTAAAAATGGGCAGAAATAAAACAAACACATTCATGTGGGATGTGTGTGTGTGTGTATATGTGTCTATGTGTGTGTGTGTATGTCTGTGTGTGTGTGTGTGTGTGTGTGTGTGAGTGAGTGAGTGGGTGTCTGTGTGCATGCGTGTGTGTCTTGAGGAAAGGAGAACTCTACCTCCTTGTTGGAGCCTGCTCTGTTAAAAAAAAAAATCTACCAACTTTGAAAAGAGGGAGATAGTGTTACAAGTGGCATAAAATGAGAAGAGAATCACATGCAAAGGAGGAAAAACTGGTTCTCTGACCTAGAGATTATCAGGGCCCTGATCCACAGACTTATGCAGGAGCTCCTCAGAGCCAAGCCTCACTGAAGAAGCCTGAAGAACAAGGTGTCTACAGCTTTTACTGAGTTGACTTCATGAATCCTGGACATCTGGCAGAACTTAAACAGATTTGTTCAAACCACCCTCTCTCTTCCTAGGGTATCAGAAGGCAGTAAGTAAGCTTTACTGTACAGGTTGCCAGTTCTGTCTCCCTAAATACATATTTTATTCTCTTTATTTTTTCCAACATCCATGGACTCAGAGTTCCATGTTGAACTGCTGAATGGGAACAGGTAGCTGTAAGTTTTTGTGTGTCGCACAGAAAGGAGTCTGCCTCAAAGTCAAAACCTCACTGTAACAAGGACACTGCAGGAAGCTTTGCCAGTTTTGGGTCCAGGATCTCTGATAAAGATCCAAATATCTGAGCTGTATTTTTATTCTTATTCTTTTATATGCCGCATCAGTCCCTGTTCTCAAACATTATTTTAAACACTTTTAATGTCCTTTACATTTCAAAATAAAGTTTGGGTAGTAATTTATGAAGGACTCTTTAAGCCAGAAACCTACACCCTCAAAATAAAAATGCTAAGAATTTCATCTTACACAGAAGCAGCAGCGTTTTCCTCAAGAAAAACAACATGTCCTACTAAAGGCAGTGATTCTAGTCACTTTAAAGTTAGAGAAATGCTCACATGAACAACTTCACTGAGGCTAAAATCAATCTCAAATTTAAAAAAAAAACATTATGAAGGTAAAAGAATTCTACCTACATTTTTTTAAGCCTTTGCCCTAGTTTTTTTTTTTTTTTTTTAATCATTAAAACCCTAAACATAGGCCTGTTTGTGCTGTCTCCCAGCTAGAGGCTTCGATTTCCACCTTTTATGGAAAGGAAACAAACAGACAGCTTCCTGTTCAATCCTCACCGATGGCCAGACTTTTACACATCACAGAACACGCCCGCCTCCTCCTGTACCCCCCTTATCTTAATTTAAACTTGTGGAAATATGAGACTGTTTTAGCGCACTAACGCTTTCCTCTGAGATTTATCTTACGCCAGCATTAAGGACACAAGGAACATCAATACAGCTCTCTGGTTACTTGGTATTCCTAAAATATTCTAATCATAGTGTTTATATAAGGAAGACTTAGCACTCAAGTAGGTGAAATTTTGATGTACTAAAATTTAACATATTTACATTCGTTTGCCCTGCTTTTTTATACATATATATATATATATATATATATATATATATATATATATATATATAACTATGATATGCAACTAGAAAAGGGTATCCCACACCACTCCCTCTCTTTTTTAATTACATGAAAATATAAAAAGGGGGCCAATGAGATGGCTATCAATACAAAAGATTACTTAAAAAAATAGGTATATACTATGTTAACCCTATGTTTTCCTTTTTAAAAAAGGGATGCCTTAGCAAAACTAAGCTAGCCATTTTCTTTTGTGCTTGGGTGAACAACCGGAAAGCCAAGCCTCCAGGCCTTGGGGGAAGAGCCTTGTGATGATGTGCCGGGAGATAAGGGCCCATAGTGACACTTAAGGAAGGGCCAGCTCACTTTCGAATTTCTGCATTCCTCAAGAACAATTCAAGGCAATAAGCAACTTTGCAGAAGAGCCACATGAAAGCTGGGGCCAATGAATGAGGCTCATCTGCTCTTTATCACAGGGGAAACCTCACCCTGGCCAGTGTCTAACCTTTTAACCCTGCCAGTTCCTAACTTACACATGAATAATGGAATTCTGGCCGAGAGTACAACTTTCCGATTCTAGACTGCTAAATTCAGAAACTAAGACTCAGCCTGTGTGTTTAAAAAACAAAAACAGAAAACAAACTAAAAAACCAAAATCATTAAGAGTGTCACAGATTAAAGTTTTAGATTACAGATGGCTACTACCGCCAAACCAAACGATGCATTCGCTCATAAAATCCCTAAGAAAACAAACAAACAAACAAACCCCACAGTGCCATGATGTTATCCATAAGGGGAAGAACTAGCTTCACACACACACACACAGAGAGAGAGAGAGAGAGAGAGAGAGAGAGAGAGAGAGAGAGAGAGAGAGAGAGAGAGAGAGA